CGCACCGCCATGCCGCGACGCATACTGAGTCGAACGCAGACCGTCGGCCTGGGCGGCAGGAGCCTTCAAGAAGATAATATGTCAGAATCAACGGCCCGCGCAATAAATGATCCCCGTTTGTTGTCTGCGGCGTGAATATGACACGTTGGGACCGCGATCCCTCTCAAACTATATGTGTGTATGATGTGTTTGTTGTTTGTGTCAGTTTTTCGGGGGTCGGGGACTTCGTGAGCTCCGGAACGTGCGTGCGTGCGTCCATGACTGGTAGAATGGCCAACTGGGCGCGAAAGTGTTGTGCCGTGCAAGAAAGCACACGAAACGACGCATATTGCCATACATCACAGCTGAATCGCGTGCATCCGAAGTCGTCGGACGAAGATAAGTCAGATATCGTACACCGATCTAATTAACCTGCCAGTCCGTACTCGTACTGCATCATGCCTACATCCTGCACCCGTTCAGGAGGAGGCCTAAACGCAAGGTGGAGCTCCTTGTCTCCGGGATCGGGCCACCTGGGGGCCTCCATGGCCCATGCAAACAAATATGCGCAAGCCGCCGCGTGATCCTCGTGTTGGTCGATGAATTGGTACAACCTGCAACGGTCGTGCCTGCGGCAATACAAGAAAACCCGCTGCCGCCCCGTCTGATGCGTAAAATTGCCTGAGCAAACTCGCAATTCGGCCCAGCCAGGGAGCCTGCACTGGACGGGAGGCACGGGCGCAATGGCAGGGTGCAAAGGGATTGCGGGGCCCATCTCTTCCAGGGCGGGCAACGGTGGCGGAGGCAGCGGTGGCGGAGGCGCAGGCGCGGGCGCAACGTCGGCATCTTCAATGCCGCCCGCAACGTCCTCCCCCCCAGCTTCCTCGATCGCCAGTGCGTCACGCGCCCTCCTAGAGATCAGACGCTTCGCATCCTCGTCCCTCAGGGCGATGACCTGATCGTCGCTCAGGCGGGCAATCTCAGAGAGATCTTCGAGTGACATCAAAGCTACGTAATAAGAATCCCACCAGCCCACTGAAGGCGTGAGAAATTTAGTGAGCTCGTTCTTCTGACTGATTAGCCGCTCCCCCTGCCCTCCGCCCTGGCGCCCCCCTGCAATGCGCTGCAGATGCACTCTGCGCAATATTGCACAGAGCTTGCGAAGATCCTGCGATGTCACGCACAACGCTCTGCAAACTACACCCCGCAATGCCCTGCAACGATCGCTCAAGACCCAAGAAGCCGACGCCATGAGTTGCTTGCTTCCCTGGTGGTCCGAAGGTCCCGATGCGACTTCAAAAGGCACCAAATTGCCCCCAATGAGACATCAAGAGGGCCTCCCAATAAGGACCCGAGAAAACCAAAATCGCACGCGCTGGGGAATCCAATGGCGCCCCCCCCCAAGGCCCTCGCGGAACATAGGTGGGCCCCTCGCGGAGCCCCGCGGGGCCAGATTGAACCCCTCGCGGGGCCAGCTTCGTCGCGACGCATGCTGATGCATGCCCCTGGCCTAAGCATTTCTCACAAGCATATATTATCAGCGTGGGTTGACGGGATTGCGCGAAGCGTTGTGGATTCGTGCAATCGTGGCAGATTCGCTGAAGACCCCCAGGCTTACCAAATATCACGCTGCTGAAACAAAACGCCTTCAAGTAAGAGATCGGCCTGGTGAGGGCCCTCCTGGGGATCAGCCTGTCGCCGTCCTTCTGGTGAAACGACGGGCACTCGTCGGACACCCTCCAGCCGCGCCACAGCATCAACTGCAACAGTTCGAGCTTGCTCCACGACTGCCCCTCGCTCGGCTTATTGGCACTCGCCCCCAACAATGCATGCTGCGACGTCGCCATCACCCCCGAGACACGGCACGCCGCCAAAGTCAAGCCTAAAGCCTCCTCGCCGAACTCGTCGGTCTTGCGGACCACGATGCCTTGGTCCTCGGGCCACCCCTCCTCCTCCGCCTCCTCCTCCTACTCCATCCTCCTCCTCCCCCCCCGCCTCCCCCTCTTCCTTTTCCAGACGCCCAGGGGGGAGATGCGTGAGCAACAGGGGGGGGGGGGGATGGGATGGGGGGCGATGTTGCCACGCGCGCCCCTCTTCCTCTTCCTCCTCCACCGCCTCCTCCACCTCCTCTTCCTCCACGTCCTCCTCGCCCTCCTCCTTCTCCTCCTCGCCCTCCTCCTCCCCATCCTCCTCCCCCCTCGCATCCTTCCCCAACGCCTCCTCATCATCCCACTCCTCCCCCCCCTCATCCTCGATCCCACTCCTCCCGCTCCTCCTCCTCCTCCTCCTCCTCCTCCTCCCCCCCCTTCCCCCCCCTCCTCCTCCTCCCCCCTCTCGCCCCCCCTACTCTTCCCCAGCGTGTTTGGAACGACTTGCAAAAATAAGAAAAGACGATTTCTGCCCGCCTGCAACAGGGGGGGCCCTGCCCCCAACAAGCCAGAAGAACCCTGGGGGGGGGGCCTGGGCCCGAACACTCTGCGTCCAAGGACCTCCCATCTACATAGTGCTTGGCGCAAAGGCCAATTTCCAACATCCTAAGTCCACCAAAACCACGATGGCGAGGTTCGTGAAGTGGTCCAGGATGCCGATCGGGACGAGGGCGTCGGACTCGGCAAACGCCCTGCGCTCAACCAACTGCGACACGACGCGCCGAGCCGACTCGGCCAACACGCATCCAGAAGCTGTCACCGTAATGGCGTCCCTCCGCTCTGGGTCAGCCAACGCTGCCAATTGAGCCTCCGGCAACGCGAGGGCGCCCTCTACCTCGGTGTCGGGCGGCCTCAGCGGCTGCAGCGCCAGTGGAGCAGCTGTCAAATGCAACGTCAATCCGCACGACGTCGCCCGCCAAAGTCGCAACTCCCTGCACACCCGACTGAAAACGGCTGGCTCGCACCATGGGCCGATATCAATCAACTCCGATGGCCCAGCGCTGCACTGCATTACGTATGCCCCATCTGCGCTGTGGGCAAGTATATCCATGCGCTGCACGCGTATGCCAGTCAGGCGGCGCACCTGGTGCATGTCTGTCACTCGGGTCTTGCGCTCAGGGCGCGGGTCGACCACCATGCAGAACACGTGCGGCTCTGGCGCAGAGTGGAACACGACACCACGGCGAAGGCCGTCGACGAATTGGTCAATGCTGATGTCGGCGACGGGGTCCTGGACGGGACCAGCTGCAGCCAAGTCGAAAAGCGATTTGGGGATGCTGAACTTCTGGGTGCCCTGCAAGCGGTTCTTCAAATAAGCCATCACCAATTTCATGCTATCGGACGGGGGGATTGATGGTTGTGCTTGCACATCTGCTAAGGCAAGTTGGAACTCTTTGTCGGCCCTCTGCTGCTGGTCAACATCCTGGAAATGGTCCTTGGCGTCGTAGGCGTACACTCTGGCATGCGTTTGAGCGGGCGTGAGTTTGCTGATGTCTCCAGGCGGCAGAACGTGGGCCAACAATTCCTTATAGCATTGCCTGCTTTGCCACTGCCGAGATACCCAATCAAGCTGGACCCGATCGTCTAGCATCTCCTCGATCTGGGACGAGCGCTTGCGGGCGCACACGATGGCGGGCCCAGCGTAGCGCAGCCCCCTCCTCGCAGCCCACTTGACCCCCACGTGCTCCCTCTCAGTGCGCCGCTCCACGACCGAGCAGAAGGCCCTGTCCAACACTTCCTGGAAAGCCTCTGGGTAGAAATGGAGCTGGGACAGCGGGTTCTCTTTGAAGTCCCACAGCTGCTTCGAAACGACATTCCTGAGACCGAAGAGGGACTGAGAGATGGGATCTGCGGTGGCCTTGTCCACAATGGCGTCGTACTGCTCGAAGCACTTGCGAATGGCCGCCTTGGCGCTCAACAGCGAGGACCCGATGTACTCCCCGAAGCCGCCAGCAACCTTGCGTGGGCAAGCGCCCCCCCCCCCCCCCCCCATCCCGCTCGCATCCCTCCTCATCCTGCCATCTTGGCACCGTTTTGGGGCCTTCTTGGGGAGGTCATTGGAAGGCTCCCTCCAGCTGTCACAAAGGCGGCCGCAGGACAGCAGGACGACAGCCCAAGAGGCCCTCAAGAGGGCCCCAATACGGTTCCAAGAGGGCAGGAAGAGGGGGCCACGCAAGCCCAAGACGGGCCCAAGAGGGCCCCAAGTGGGCATATAACGAAAGCCCCGCGTTATATCAGCCGCTGGGCTCACCCGAGAATCCTCCTGGAGCCCATTTTGAAGGGGCCCTCGGGGCCTCGGGAGCGCCTCGAGAGCCCTCGGAGAGCCCTTGAGAGCCAGCGTGGACCGAGACAGGAGCATATGCGACAAACACTGGGGTCTTCCGAAATACCTCTCGGAGCCCCCCTCGGAGCCCCCGTTGGGGCCTCGGAGCGCCGTGGCTGCCTTGCGAGATGCCCTTGGGGGGGCACCAGAACAGGCCCAGGATGGCCCCAAACAGTAAACAAAAGACATTATCTACGACATTGCAGGGCGCCCAAACAGAGCCCCCGAGAAAGCCCCGACGCCGCCCCCGCATGCCCGAGATGCCCCCCCCCCCCCCGAGGAGTATTGAACGACCGTCTCGAGTTACGTGCGACGCTGGGGTCACCCTAGCAACGCCCTCGGGATCTCTCGGGTCGTTTCGGGTGCTGAAGGGCCCGTCGTCGCCGCCACTCCATCGGGGATCTTCTCTGGACGGGCGGGGAAGGGGTGGGTGGGTGGGCGGCAAGGGGCGCGCAGACCATGTGAGGTATGCGCTTTGCAAAGGCAAGCTTGTCCCCCATGATGCTGCACCACCGCCGCTTGCAATGGTCGTCGATCACAGCAATCCGCGCGGCGAGCATGGGCGCGGCCTTGAGACTAGCTTCCACGTACCGCGTGGACGTGAGGGAGGCGACGCGCTCTAACATCTTGTCGCCCTCACCCAATGCGAGATTGGCGAGGCGTTTCCCCTTCCACGGGCATGTGCTGCTCCCTGATCTATCCCCCATGCCGCGGCGCCGCTTGAACGTGGTCGAGGCGTCGACCAGCACGTCCTCGTGGCAACTGCAACCCTCCAACATGCTCGCCTGTCGGGGCGGGGGAGGGGGGGGGCGCGGGGGGGGGGGGGGGCTGGGGCGCGAGGGGGCGAAACGAAGAGGGGGCTAAACTTAAAAAAAAATGCTGACCTGGGGAACCCCAGGCGCGCCTGGATGGGCGCAGCCTCCGTCTAGGGTCTGGCCGCCGCCAGGGGCCCGGCGCAGCGCGCCTCCTCCTCTCCTCCTCTCTCCTCCTCCTCCTCCTCCTCCTCCTCCTCCTCCACCTCCTCCTCCTCCTCCTCCTCTTCCTCCTCATCCCGCCCCCCTCCCCCCCCCGCATTTCCTGGCGCGCGGATAGGAGCGACGCGAGAGCGACGGGGGCACCCCGCCCCCCGATCTTGCTTCACCCTGTCCTCCTCGTCCTCCACCTCCTCTTGCTCTACCTCCTCCTCCTCTTCCTCCTCGCCCTCCTTCTCCTCCTCGTCCTCGTCCTCGTCCTCCGCGCCCTCCTCCTCCTCCTCGTCCTCCTCGTCCTCCTCCTCCCCCGCCCGCCCTCGCCACCCTCCCCAACCCCTCCTCATCCCCCACTCCTCCCCCCCTCACCTCGCGCCCCCCCCCCCCCCCCCCCCACCCCATCCCCCCCTCCCGCGACAAATTCGGCCCCGCGCAGCCCCCTTTGTCATCGAATAGGGGCGGGCTTCACTTCGCTCCTCATTCAAGCTTCTGATAGTAGCAGTAGTAGTAGTAGTAGTAGTAGTAGTAGTAGGATCAGTAGTAGTAGTAATAGTAGTAGTTGTAGTAGTAGTAGTAGTAGTAGTAGCGTCAAGCTAGTACAAATCGTAGTAGTAGTAATAGTAGTAGCAGTAGCAGTAGCAGTAGCAGTAGCAGTAGTAGTAGTAGTAGTAGTAGTAGCAGTAGTAGTAGTAGTAGTAGTAGTAGTAGTAGTGTAGTAGTAGTAGTAGTAGTAGTACTAGTAGTAGTAGTAATGGTAGTAGAGAGTAGTAGTAGTAGTAGTAGTAGTAGTCGTAGTAGTAGTACTAGTAGTGGTAGTAGTAGTAGCAATAGTATGGGAGAGGATGTGGGAGGACGATGAAAGGGAGCATGAGGGTGGAAGTAGAAGTGGGAATGGACATATGAGTAGCGGTGGGGTGATGGTCGTAGTGGTGGTAGTTGTAGCTGTAGGATTGGTAGTGGTAGTGGTGGTGGTGGTGGTAGTGGTGGTGGTAGGTGGTGGTATGTGGTGGTCGTAGTAGTGGCGGTAGTAGTGGTGTGGGTAGTAGAAATGGTGGTGGCGGTGGTGGTAGTAGTAGTGGTGGTAGTGGTGGCAGTGGTAGCAGCGATGGTAGCACTGGTGGTAGTGGTGGTGGTAGTGATGGTAGCAGCGTAGTAGTGGTGATGAAGGTCATGATGATGAGTAGGAGGAGGGGAAGGGAGGAGGCGGAGGAGGGGGAGGAGGAGGAGGGGGAGGAGAGCGAGGAAGAGAGGGCGAGGAGAAGGATGGCGATGAGGATGATGAGAAGAGGACGAGGAAGAGGAGGAATAAAAGGACGGGGGGGAGGAGGTGGGAATGCAGGATGAGGAGAATGAGGAAGAGGACGACGACGATGACGATGACGACGTTGACGAAGGGGGGGCAGGACGAGGAGGAGGGGGTGACATGGAGTCGGGGCGCCTCTCGCCCGACTCCGTGCGCGAACATGAGGACCCACTCCTTGAATACAGCGTGGAACGGGTCCTGCAACGCGTCTCTGACTGTCGCGACGAGGGAGCCCTCGTCCTTGAAAACGTCGTCTGTGAAGAAAACCTGGGCGGGGCGAGGGGCGCGGGGCGACGGGGTGCCCCGAGGGGGCTCCAAGGGGGGCGGGGGAACGAAGGAGCTTTCTGGGAAGCTCTGGTAAAGCCAAGAGAGGGTCCCGCGAACGCCGACTCGAAACCTTCTTGGAGGCTCGACGGCTCCTCCTCCTCCTCCCCCTCCAACTTCCCCCTCCTCCTCCTCCTCCTCCTCCTCCTTCCTCCTCCTCACTCCTCCCCCCCCCATCCTCCTCCACCTTCTCCTCCTCCTCGCCCCTCTCATCCACGTCCTCCTCCCTCCTTCTCCCCCTCATCATGCCGTCCACATCTCCGCCTCATCCTTCTCTTCCGACGCTCCCTCGCGGGTCGAAATGGCCCCTCGGGCAGCGGGTCGGGCCATAAGAAAAAAAGAAAAAAAAAAAAAAGGGTACAAAAAAAACAAAAAAAAAAAAAAAAAAAAAAAAAAAAAAACGGGGGCCGCGGCGGGGGGCGGGGGGGGCCCGGGACAAACTGATCCCGCCGTGCCCCGGCGCACTACTTTTGCCCCTCATCCTCCTCCGTCTCACGCATGATTCTCCTTATTGTTCATGCGCCTTCCCTTCCTCCTCCGCCACTCGACGATCCTGCACTTCCTCCTCCTCCTCCTCCTGTGTCCACCTCCTCCTCCTCCTTGTCCTCCTCCTCCTCCTCCTCCTCCTCCTCCTCCTCCTCCTCCTTCCCCCTGCTCATGCTGATCCTCGTCATCGAGGTTGCCTGCAAATCACCGTGCAGGTGCACCTCGTCCCGCAGCGCATCCTCGAGGTGCTCCCACCGCCAGTCGACGTGCTGGCCCTTGAAGGCGCGCAGCCGATGGCGAGCCTCCCGAGGGGCTCCTCGGGAAGCGGGGGGAAGGGGCGAGGAGGGGCAGGGGGCGCAGGGTGAAGAGGAGAGGGAGTGGGAGAAGGGGGAGGAGGAGGAGGAGGAGAAGGAGGAGGAGGAGGAGGACGAGGAGGAGGGGGGATCAGGAGGAGAAGGACGAGGAGGCGCGGGAAGAGGAGGGGGGAAGGCGAAGGAGGAGGAGGAGGCGGAGGAGGAGGCGGCGGAGAGGAGGGGCGAAGCGGCGAAGGAGGAGGGGGGAGGGGGGGCGAGGAGGAGGAGGAGGAGGAGCATGTGCTTTCCAAACTCGCGCTCGTCCTTTGAAAACCGTGTTCAGCAATACCTCCTTGTAGGACGGCTCGCCGCATATTTTGCAGATCGCCTTCAGCTGCTTCTCGAACTTCTTCCATTCGGGGATCCCTTCAAGACACTCCTGCAACGCGTTGAATATTATGTGCAACATGCCAGGCACGCTCAGGGCGTTCCAGAACATGGCGGTCTGCGCAGCTCTCTGCGCGTACACCTCCAGCGTGCCAGCGCGCATGGCATCTAAGATGTCGTTGATCTCGTCTTGCTTGCCAAAGGGAAAGTTTTTTATCTTCTTTTCAGAGGAGCCTTGATCAGAGAGGAAGCCCTTCACCTCGCAACGGTACTGCCAAAGACGCTCATCACCACACTCAAGCAAAATGCTGTGCGCGAGCCTGGACACCTTCATGGCGGCAGAACTCTCTCCGCGGGCCAGTGTCATACAGGGAAGGGACCGCATCTTGTGTTCGAAACATTTCAAGGCGTTGAAGTTGTCATCAATCACGAACGGCGTCTGCATGATGAGGAGCTCCTCAGTGGTGCAAAAATAATCGAAATTGGCCTGCGGACTCGAATCTGGACTGATATACCTGGAGATGCGTTGTCCCTGTGCACCAGGGGGGAAGAACTGCCTCCGCGAAAGCATGTGGAGCGCATCCAAGCGAAGTATGAGCCGACGAACAGAAACGTGGTTCGGGAATTGCAAGGTGACGATGTCCGCGTCGGGGCAGATGATCTGAGCCGCAAGCCTGCACACTTTGCCGACGTCGTGGGTGCTCTGCAACGCCAGCGCCATCCTCCCGCAGTTGATCTCGAAGAGCGAGCTCGGTCTCTGAACCCCGAGGCGCACCCTCCAACCTCTGCCGCGGCCTCTCCAGTCCTGGAGCGTCCGGCGCACCGCTGGCGCACCCTGCGCAGGCGGCTCCAAGGGCGCGACGCCCAAGAACTGGGCGTAAGCGAGGGGCGTCACCACATCGGTCGCACCACTGCGGACAGGCCCGACCATGCCGAACGGAACCTGCATCAACAATGCCCCAGCAGTCGCGTGGTCTCCGAGAACTCCACGATGCCCGTCAACTGTCTGACCACTGAGCTCTCTAACAACCTCGAAGCCATCCGTGGAGATCCTGCGTGCGATGTGGGGGCGGCCGCCTTGGAAGATGTTGTTGTCGATGTCGCGCGGCGCGCCCAGCGAGAAGGCGCCGTCGACGGTCCACGACACGTACTCGCCAGTGAGGCTGCTACCGCAGGCCCTGCCCTGCCACATGCTCACCTGGTGCGACGAGGCGTCGGGGCGAACCGTCGTGGCGGCCGAGAGGGAGACGGCCGCAAACCTGGAGAGCATTTTATGAATGCGCATGGGGGGGGGGGGAAAGAGAGAGACGGAGGGAGATGAGAGGGGCGGGCAAGGGAGGGAAGGGGAGGGGAGGGGGAAATAAAAAAAAGAGGGGACGTGAGGAGAGGATAGCAAGGTGAGGAGGTGGGGTGAGAGATGGGAGGGGATGGAGGATGCGTTTGCGCTTGCGCTGAATGGCACGGTGAGCTATCCGTCATTATATCCGTCCCTAACTCTCTCTCTCTCTCTCTCTCTCTCTCTGTCTCAGTTTGTTTGTTTTCTCTCGCTCGCTCTTTCTCTCTCTCTCTCTCTCTCTCTCTCTCTCTCGTTTTCTCCCCCTCTCTCTCTATGTATAGGTACCTCGCTCTCTCTATCCCTCTCCATCTGTCTACCCCCTTCTGTAAATCCCTGTCCTCCTCTCTCTCTGATGTCGCCTCTCCTCCCGTATCCAATCCTGCCCTGCCCTTTTCCTCCCCCTCCATCCCTCTCCCCCCATCTCCTCTCCACCCCTCCTCCTAAACGTGCGCCCCAGACGCACCCGACACGAACGAATCGATCCAATGTCCGACTTTTGCAACACGGAGGGAACAAAACTTTCTCCATGGGGCGCTTCCTGTCGCACTCGTCCCTGTACGCCCACAGGAGAACAGTGCCAGGCAGCGCGAACACATGCGATCTCCTGCCGCCGCCCTTGCCGCCGCGGCCGCGGCCGCTGGGCCCGCGGCCCCGAACCCCCAGGTGTTCGGGC